GGTGGAGGTTGCAGTGAGCCAAGATCATGCCAATGCACTCTAGTCTGGGTAAGAGTGAGACTCCATCTCAAAAAAAAAAAAAGGAGGTTTGGCCTGACATGGTGGCTCATGCCTGTAATCCCAGCACTTTGGGAGGCCAAGGCGGGTGGATCACCTGAGGTCAGGAGTTTGAGACCAGCCTGGGAAAAATGGTGAAACCTCACCTCTACTAAAAATACAAAAATTAGCCGGGCATGGTGTGTGCACTCAGCTACTTAGGAGGCTGAGGCAGGAGAATCACTTGAACCTGGGAAACGGAAATTGCAGTGAGCTGAGATCATGCGCCTGCACTCTAGCCTGGACAACGGAGCAAGACTCCTTCTCAAAAAGAAAAAAAAAAAAGAAAGATTTAATTGACTCACAGTTCTACATGGCTGGGGAGGCCTCAGGAGCTTATAATTATGACAGAAGGCAAAGGGGAAGCAAGACATGTCTTAGATGGCAGCAGGAGAGAGTGACAGCGAGAAAGTGCCACATTTTAACACCATCAGCTCTCCGGAGAACTCACTCACTATCATGAGAACAGCATGGGGGAAACTACCCCCATGATCCAATCACCTCCCACCAGGTCCCTCCCTCAACATGTGGGGATTACAATTCAAGATGAGATTTGGGTGGGGACACAGAGCCAAATCATATCACTGGGGGAGTGGAGATGAGGGGAAGGAGTGGTATTCCAAAGCAGGAGGTATTGAGTACATTGTTTCATGAGTCTTGTATTATCCATTTTATTATTCCTTAGTGCATGGTAAAGCTTCCTTTGAAATGCAGGCTGAATTATCTGAGCCAGAGGACCCCAGGGAAGGTGAGACAGATACCCACACCTGGGCAGAGGATTACAGGGAAAACAGCAACCCCTCTTTCCCCTGGGCACATGTGGTAGAGGCTGTGGGAATCAGGGTATTGCAAGGGTGATGAGGGTAGAGTCAGGACTATAACTCCTCATTCTGGGTTCCCCGGAGCTTTGACTGCTGTGCTCCCGGCCTCAAGCAATCCTTCTGCCTCGGCTTGCTAAAGTGCTAGGATTACAGGCCTGAGCCACGGACTGCCCTCCTCCTAGGAGGCTGTTGACTGAGGAGGTCTGGATGTCAAAGCCTTTCACCACAGGATATAGCAAGATTACTGCAGAGTCAAGGCCCAAGGCCATCCTTCCCCATGCACAGCTCTTGCTAACTCCCCTGACTTCTCTGTGTGCAACTTGTAAGCAGCTCAGCCTGGAGTAGGAGTTGGGGTTCTGACTTTCTACAGCACCTGGGACAGGAAGGATCAGAGGAGCACAGAGTGTTGCCTGCCTTGTAGGTGTCCCACATCATCCCGTCTGACCGTTCAACAAAGGTGTCAGGCTGGCATTATTCACCCTATTCTATAAAGCTCAGAGAAGTGAAGGTCCTTGCATGTGACATTTACTATCATCATCACTAGTATGTCCCTACTCACATCACAGCAATTCTTTGCTCAAATCTCTAATTGCTAAGAGACTCGGAGTAAAACCCAAAGTCCTCACAATAGCAATAGCCTGCAAAGCTCTGCCCCCTCGCCTCTCTTCTCTGACCTCCTCACTGCCCCTGTCTTACTCACTCTGCTCCAGCCACAGTGGCCTCCTTGCTGTTCCCTCCCGAACACGCCCGGCACAGTCCCACATTCCCGCCTTGCCCTGGCTTTCGCTGTGGCTGTTTCGTCCCCGAAGAACACTCCTGTCTTCCCCATCGCCAAGTCTGGGTTCCAACCTCACCTTCTCCATGAGGCTTGCCCAGACAGCCTTTTAAATTCTGCAAACTGCCTCCCACTCCCACCTGCCCCCTTACTTTTTGTGGCCTTGACCTTTCAACATACTACATGATTGTTTGTCTTGCCTTCACCAGAATGTAAGCGCTCTACAAAGGCAGAGGGAAGACTGTCTTGCTCTCTGATGTATCCTCCAGCCCTTAGAAGAGTCCGTGGTACTTAGTAGGCTTTCAGTACATCTGTGCCCGGCGATGGAAAGAATGAATGAATACTGAGACCGAAGATCGCGACCGTAAGCCTCTGGGCACTGGTGCCCCGGGGCCTGGCGGAACCCTCAGGGAACTACATTTCCCGTGAAGCTCTGGGCGCAGAGGGCCGCGGGGGCTGCCGGGAAGGACATACGTGCTTAATCCCGGTGCAGGGGACGAGCATGGCGGCTCCGCGAGGTGAGCCGTTGGCCGGGGTGTTGGCGAGTGTGTTGGTGGCGCGCGTCCTGGGGACGACTCCCGGCATGATCGGCCAGGTTGAGTCCGCTCCTGGCGCTCCGCGGAAAGATGGGTGGGTGCCGGGTAGAGGTGGGGCCACCTGCGATGGGGACTGACCTTCGAGGGGAGGAGGCCCTTCTAGACGTCGTGCCGTGGTATAGGTACCTCCTGCTCCCTCCCCGCCACCCCGCCTCAGATCAGCACAGGGTCCTTACTGCTGCCCATCTGACAGTTGGGAACCTCGAGGCCTGCAGCTGAGGGGGGGTCTCATCCAACAGCCTACAAACCCCTTATTTACTCTGTCGCCAGTGAGCACCCCCAGCTCTTGCCTGGTTTCCCGGGACACTAGGGTGAGGCCTGAGGAGTGGAGTGGCAGCTGACCCTGTCTGTGCCCCTAGTATTCCCACTTTCCTGTGCGGTGCAGCACTATGCCTGGGGGAAGATGGGTTCCAACAGCGAAGTGGCGCGGCTGTTGGCCAGCAGTGACCCACTGGCCCAGATCGCAGAGGACAAGCCCTATGCAGAGGTGAGTCCCGGGCTGTATTTCAGCCTACTTTACCCGCAGGTCAGGAGAAAGGGCCTGAGGCAAGTCATAAGAATCAGCTGGGAAGGGTGAGGCAGCAAGGAGGGAGGAGGTCCACTTGGCTCTTCAGGCTAATGGACTAGATAGTGTTACCAAAAAGAAGAATGTTACCAAAAATGAGAGGTTTTGTCATAACAGGCTGGGATTTCCAGCACTCTCCTTCCCCCAACCACTCTTAGCACTTAGTGAATTTTAATTCAGCCCTCTTTGACAATTCAGTTTTTTTACTTTGACTATTTTTTTTTTTTGCATTTTTATTAACCTAAAATATTTCTCCTGCCTATTTAATGAAGAAAAAGCCAAAGCATAGGAAGGCTTTCGCCTCTGCTTCTGAAACTGGAAGATGTATGTTAACCCTGAAAGAATCATTTAAGAGTTATAGTTTTTCTGCTACCTTCACAATGCAGGTGTCATTCTCCTCTTTGGACAGACAAAGAAGCTACATCTAAAGAAGGGAAATAACTAGTCCAAGGCTCCACAGATGGCTAGAGGCAGAGTCTGGACAAGGGCCTGGGTCTGCTGCCTCCCTGTATGTCCATGATGGCATGAACATTTGTATCCAGACCTGAGAGGCCTTTCCCAGGACTCAGTTGCCCTCTGGGGAGCACAGCATAACGGATTGGGACAGGCCAACTCAGGGTGCCAGGTTTCTCCCCCTTCCCCTCCCAAGTTTCCTGTCTTTCCAGTTGTGGATGGGGACTCACCCCCGAGGGGATGCCAAGATCTTTGACAACCGCATCTCACAGAAGACCCTAGGCCAGTGGATTGCTGAGAACCAGGACAGCTTGGGCTCAAAGGTCAAGGACACCTTTAATGGCAATCTGCCCTTCCTCTTCAAAGTGCTCTCAGTTGAAACACCCCTGTCCATCCAGGCACACCCTAACAAGGTAAAGGACAGAGTGCGGTGCAGAGGTCAGGGTACAGAAGGGCTTATGCTAACGCCCTCCCATTACTTTTACTGCCACTTTTACCTCACCCATGCCAGGCTCCTGCCCAAGGCCAAATCCAGGCTGACAACTCCCAATTTAGCTCTGCAAAGCCACATGCAGCAACTAAGTCTAAGCAAACAGCTGACCGGCCTGTGCCAGGGGAGTTTCTCTAAGCTCATTCCAAGGGGCTTGTTCCTGGTCTTCCCTCACCCAACCCAGATCTATTCATATCTGCCATTTACTAACCTGCTTTCAGGAAGAGTTCAACTTGCAGGGCAGGGCAGGTACCCTCAGCTCCACCCCCTTGGAGTCTTCCTACACAAGCCTGAGTCCCATTCTAAGCAATTGTGGATCAAAACTCCTTCCTTCTTTTTTTCTCTGAGACGGAATCTTGCTCTGCCGCCCAGGCTGGAGTGCAGTGGCACGATCTCAGCTCACTGCAACCTCCTCCTCCCGGTTCAAGCAATTCTCCTCCCTCAGCCTCCCAAATAGCTGAGACTACAGGCACGTGCCACCACACCTGGCTAATTTTTGTATTTTTAGTAGAGATGGGGTTTCACCATGTTGGCCAGGCTGGTCTTGAACTCGTGCCCTTGTAATCTACCCACCTCAGCCTCCCAAAGTGCTGGGATTACAGGTGTGAGCCACTGTGCCCAGCCAAAACTCCTTATTTCTGGATACACCAAGTAAGACCCAGAGAAGGGAGGGATTTACCCAAAGCCACACAGCTTGTTAGTGTCAGAGCTTGGCCTGGTGTTTGGGTTTCCTGATTTACAGACCAAGCCTCTTAAAGTCTGCCCCTGCTTTTCCTTGGATTTGCCCCATTTCCCTGCCCTGGGTTGGCTGAACCCCAAGTTTCTGCATCATGCTTTGACTGGGCTCCTTGCCAGAGGTAGGTAGCCACTGCCATCCTGTGACTGGGGAGGGTGGACAGCAGGGGCTAGGTGGCACTGGTGTTCCTGCTAGGTAATGGCTGTACCCTCACCATCCTCCTCTTCCCCTGGCCACCCCACAGGAGCTGGCAGAGAAGCTGCACCTCCAGGCTCCACAGCACTACCCCGATGCCAACCACAAGCCAGAGATGGCCATTGCCCTCACCCCCTTCCAGGGCTTGTGTGGCTTCCGGCCAGTTGAGGAGATTGTAACCTTTCTGAAGAGTAAGTTGGGCAGAATGCTGAAGGCATGCGTATTGGGCCAGGGATATCTGGGAAAGCAAGATGATAGGAACAGTGGCTGAGAACAGGGGTCACATGTCACAGCCACTGAAGGGCCTCATGAAGCAGTTTTTGGAGCCAGTGGGCCAGGCCAGTGAGACCAGGCTCAGGTGTGGTTGCCAAGGGCTGGTGATGAGTGATTGGTTTGTACTGCAAAGTTTACTTAGCATTGCTGGCTCTTTGGTTAGGGCTGGGATGGGAAGGCGTCCTCCAACTCCCCACTTGTGTGGGTTCCATCTTACCATTCCTGATATGGGCCCTGGGCCTGGCCTTCCTGTAGAGGTGCCTGAGTTTCAGTTCCTGATTGGAGATGAGGCAGCAACACACCTGAAACAGACCATGAGCCATGACTCCCAGGCTGTGGCCTCTGCTCTGCAGAGCTGTTTCTCCCACCTGATGAAGAGTGAGAAGAAGGTGGTGGCGGAACAGCTCAACCTGTTGGTGAAGCGGATCTCCCAGCAAGGTGGGCATGGTTATATTCCTGGTTGGGTGCAATGCTCTGGCCTGGGCTCCCCGACAGACACCAGACTCTAGGGACAGTTCTCAACCCCCTTGCCCAAGTGGAATACTAAAAGGGGCCCAACTTAGATGACCTGTTGGCAACTTAGCATTGCTTTCCTAGTCTTTGTGGAGCAGGGCCCTTCTTAGTTGAGTGCTGCTTCCCAACTGGTTGTCATCTCCAGATGGTTGGAGGCAGACTGGCATACAAGACTCTTAGGATGCCTTCCACCTAGGCATTCTGAGATTTTCCCCAGCCCTGCAGCTGCCCTCTATGGATGGACTTGTATCTTGGGGCTAAAGAAGCAGGAAGGGGACAAGAGCATCCTCTGTCTCCTGGAAAGGCCTGATGCCTCCAGCACTCGGTCATTTGATCTTTCCTTTACCTGCTGTGTGCCTGATCTTGTGCTAAGAAGAGTTCAAGAAGTAACTGTGACAGGTGTGGTCATGTCACCCCAAAGGTAGGGAGTCAACACAAGCAGTAAGAAACATGAAACGTAACAGACTCGCAGCAATGAGCTTATGTGGTGCAGGCAATAAGTTCTCAAGATTCTTAGCCTGGCAGCCACAGCCCACAAAGGCTGGAGTGCAGTGGTGCGATCTCGGCTTAGCTGGGCATGGTGGCATGCACCTGTGGTTCTCACTACTCAGGAGGCTGAGGTAGGAAGATTGCTTGAGCCTGGACAGTTGAGGCTGCAGTGAGCTATGATCGTGCCACTGCACTCCAGCCTGGGTGACAGCGAGACCCTGTCTCAAAAAAAAAAGGAAAGTTCAGGCATGTTGTTTACCCTTCATGAAACTTTTGAGTTATCTCCCTAGATTTTGAGCTCCGAGAGCAGTGGTTCTCAACCAGGGGACATTTGGCTGCCATCTGGAGGCATTTTTGATCGTCAAAACCCAGATGGGGTTGCTAGTGGCATCTTGTGAGTGGAGGCCAGGGAAGCTGCTAAACATCCATCAGTACACAGGACAGCCCCCACAATAAAGAATTACCTAGCCCAAATGTCAGTAGCACCAAGGCTGAGAAATCCCATCCTGAAAGGACCATACTCTAGCCCTTTTAGTGGCTAGTGTAGTCCTAGGCATGTGAACAGTCAAGAGATGATGAAAGATGGTATTTGTATGGACTGGAGTATCAAGCAAGGCTGGACCCCCAAAGGGCTGGAGGCGTGGCCAGGACAGGGCCACTTTGGCTTCTGGATTCCTGTGGCAGGGACCTTTTCCTAGGACTCCCTGGCCAATGTGGGGCTATGAACAGCACTGAGTATCCCCCTAAGTGACCTTGGGGTGCTCTGTGACCCTCAGTGGCTGCTGGAAACAACATGGAAGACATCTTTGGGGAGCTTTTGCTGCAGCTGCACCAGCAATACCCAGGTGATATCGGCTGCTTTGCCATCTACTTCCTGAACCTGCTTAACCTGAAGCCTGGGGAGGCCATGTTTCTGGAGGCCAATGTGCCCCATGCCTACCTGAAAGGAGGTGAGCCACATTTCAGCAGTGAGCCCCACTGCCATCCCTGCTGGGCCCTGTTTCCCTGTCTGGACAAAAGGAGAAGGGTGGTCAAGGAGACCCCTAAGGACCTTGCAGCTCTGACCTCTGAGGGTTCCTGGGCTCAGCAAGCAACAGCTGGTAGGGATGTTGAATGCATTTAGCATTGAACACGCCTTGAATCCTGCCACCAACCCTATGATGCCATGCTACTGATTTTAAGCCCTGCCAGTCAGTGTGGGAACCATGATTTGAAGATAGACTATACTGGATCAAAGCTGTTGTTCTATGTCACAGCCTTTGTATGTCTGTCCTATCTACCCAGGGATTTTTACACTAAAATACGCATGTTGCCACAGAAGGATGCCACCTTTTGACCGTTGGCTGCTTATCCACACATGCCTCATGCACAGGATTCTGTCGTAGAAGTGGGAGACTACAGAGTTGGGGCTTCCCAACCCCCAGGGGTTAACATAGCTCCCCTCTGACACTGACAGGTGACCTGTCACCTGTTTTTGGTATTTGATATCTCAGCCCCATTCTCCCAGAGAATACAATTCATGGAAATTTTTGCCTAACTTGGCATGGGATTCATGGAGCTCAGGTTAGGAGGCCCACAGCTGGAGAGCCAAGGCATACTTCATCAGCTTAGCACATGACGACTGTCTCTCCAGACTGCGTGGAGTGCATGGCGTGTTCAGACAACACAGTTCGTGCTGGCCTGACACCCAAGTTCATTGATGTGCCAACCCTGTGTGAAATGCTCAGCTATACCCCTAGTTCCAGCAAGGACAGGCTCTTTCTCCCGACACGGAGTCAGGAAGACCCCTACCTCTCAATCTATGACCCCCCTGTACCAGACTTCGCCATTATGAAGATGGAGGTGAGTGAGGGGCCATGATGGGTGTCCTTCGTGTGCAAAGAAAATCTCTGGCAAGGGTCACAATGTAGAGGACACCTGGGGCTGGGTTTCCTGTCAAGCCCACTTGGTGGAGGGTGGCCCCAGGGCCTGCCCATTCCTCCCTATACCAGGGACCAGGCCTCTATGCTGACTGAGCCTGGGTTGTGGGAGAAGGTGGCAGAGCTCTCCTTTGTGCCTTGGGGACTGTCCTGGGCCCATGAGCTGATGAGAGCAGAGTCTGAGCTGCATTGCCTTATTGTTTCTTCCTGCCCAGGTCCCTGGCTCTGTCACTGAATACAAGGTCTTGGCACTGGACTCTGCCAGCATCCTCCTGGTGGTACAGGGGACAGTGATAGCCAGCACACCCACAACCCAGACACCAATCCCTCTGCAGCGTGGTGGCGTGCTCTTCATTGGGGCCAATGAGAGTGTCTCACTGAAGCTTACTGAGCCGAAGGACCTGCTGATATTCCGTGCCTGCTGTCTGCTGTAGAGGCTGCAGCCTCTCTAGCTCTCCTCTGCCAGCCACCCTAAATTCCAGCCAGCCTTGCCTCCTGAGGCACAGCTCAAGCCCCCTTCCTTGCTCTGGACTCCTTAGGTATATCCTAGAAGAGCTGGGGTGGAGGAGGGAGCGTGAAGATAGTGACTCCTGAACACACCCAGGTAGAACCATCTTCTTTGGGGATGAAAGGCCTGTGTAAGGGGTCTGATACTCCCCTTGTCTTCCCTCTCTACTCCTCACTACACCTGAGCCAGGCTCTTGCCAACTCTGTTCCAGCCTATGGCTTTAGGCTAGCTGGTAAAATATGTGACCCAGCCAGGTAATTTCTAAGAACAGGGTTCTAGTGCTGGGACTGCCCATTTCCTCAGCTGCAGAGGAGGAAAGGGAAAGGGTAGGCCTGTGGACTAACACTGTTTACACCCTTTTATTCTGTCAAAGCAATTAAAGGTCACTTGTGTCGAGGCTGTGGAGTAATGAGCACTCAGCCTTTGGGGTACCTGTTCTAAAGTGGGCCAAAAGAGCCCTCCCTGCATGATACCCCAGTTTTTGCTTTATTCCTACTTCATACAGCTTCCTGGGGGTGGGCAGGCTACACTCCAAAACGCTAGTATGGGAAGGAGTGGGAGAGGAAGCCAGCTTTGGCCTCAGAGGCACAGCTTGCAAGCAGCCCTACACAGAGGTGGCTCAAAGGATACACCAGTCACCAGTACAAGACTCTTTGCTCCTGTTTTTCAATTGGCCTTAGAGAAGGGGTCAGCAAACCAGGCAGGCAGGCCAGTTCTGGCCATACCTATTCATTTCCATATGGTCTGGCTGCTTTCAAGCTACAGTGGCAAAGCTGAAGAGTTGCACTGGACTATACGGCCTGCAAAGCTGAAACTATTGATCGTCAACCACTTCTCTAGAACATACTCAACTGTGGCAGATTACAGGGACTCAGGAACCGAATTAGACAATTTTCACGGTGAGGAGAAGCCCAGTTAGCTTTCCTAAACTGGCAGGAAGTGCGAAGGAGGGAATCTCTCCCAATGCCCTGCTCCAGGGGTGGGACACACCTGCAAGAAGCTGTCAGCTGTCTGCTGCTGCTGAGGTTTCTGACCTGCAATCGTAGATCCTGTCACAACAGGCTAATCACTTAGTCCACTGGCTCCTTCCTGTGGGATAAAGGTTTAAATTCATACAAAAGAATCTTTCTGGGCTTCTGCCCACACTAGAGTCCCTACACAATAGAGTCCCAGGAAACCACCTTCAAAAATCTCCTGGGTTTTGGCCGGGCACGGTGGCTCATACCTGTAATCCCAGCACTTTGGGAGGCCGAGGCGGGCGGATCATGAGGTCAGGAGATCGAGACCATCCTGGCTAAAATGGTGAAATCCCGTCTCTACTAAAAATACAAAAAAATTAGCCGGGCGTGGTGGCGGCTGCCTGTAGTCCCAGCTACTCGGGAGGCTGAGACAGGAGAATGGTGTGAACCCGGGAAGCGGAGCTTGCAGTGGCCAAGATCACGCCACTGCACTCCAGTCTGGGCAACAGAGTGAGACTCTGTCTAAAAAAAAAAAAAAAAAACTGGGTTTTTTTGCCTCCAAATTTTCTTCAGCTAAAGAACAATAAATATGAGCTGGAAAGAAAGGTTCTGCTAAAGGGAACCCATTCTATAGAAGTGACTTGCAAGGGCCTGTTTCACTCATGTTGTCCAATGAAAGAGGCCTGAAAGTTGTACCCACTGGGAACAGCAGAAAGGGGAGGGAGTTTCCAGAAAGAATTGCTGCAGTCAGCTAATTAAGCTATTTCTTCATTTCACGATATCCAGGATATTATTTTTTTTTTTTTTTTTATTTTTTGAGATGGAGTCTCGCACTGTCTCCCGGGCTGGAGTGCAGTGGCACGATCTCAGCTCACTGCAACCTCTGCCTACCAGGTTCAAGCGATTCTCCTGCCTCAGCCTCCCAAGTAGCTGGGACTACAGGCGCCTGCCACCACGCCCAGCTAATTTTTTGTATTTTTAGTAGAGATGGGGTTTCAGTAGAGACGGGGTGACAGGATCTACAATTGCAGGTCAGGTCAGACTGGTCTCAAATTCCTGACCTCATGATTTGCCTGCCTCGGCCTCCGAAAGTGCTGGGATTACAGGCATGAGCCATCGTGCTCGGCCAAGGCCTTTCTTTAAAATCCTACTGCAACACAGACACAGCTCAACTAGTGTGATTGCATTTATTCTTATAAAGGTACAGAGCTGTAGAAGTACAAGCCAAGAGTTCTGCAGAGTAGTACATAAACACCATATGGTACCACTCCTGCTGGGAGGTAAGCCTGGATACACCCTTCTCCCCAGGAAACTGTCACCTGCAGAACACCCAGCACTCAGAATTAAGGCAGTTTGGCCCTGGGCACATCGGTGGTATTTTGGTATGTGGCCACTGGCCCTAAACAACTGACCATTTCTACCCTGCCTCACTGTACTCTCCCACCAGGTCCGTCCAGCTTCTTCTACAAGGTAACACCCTCCTACATGGGGTCAGCCAGCTCAGAAACCTCTTCTTCAGGAACGGCTGCTGCTGAATATGCCAGAGTTGATTATTACAACAACAATGAAGAGGGCCTTGGTTTTGGGGTCCTACCACCCTCACCCCTAGCAGCTGCTAAACACTCAGGCCACTCTGCCCTGACCACCTCCCTGACAGAGATGTGGGTCTGTACTTACCTTCCACAGCCACCTCCCAGCACGCACTGGGGTCCCTCTACCCGCGCCGATGTCTTTCTTTACACTGTGCTACATTTGATCCCTTTCCACATGTGCACTTCACCTCTGCAGACACAAGAAAGGCCTGGACATGGTCTCTGCAGATGGGGAAGGGGTTCTGGATGGAGATGTTTTTGCTCTCTACAGGCATTTGCACAAAGTGCTCAGAATGTTGGCCACCTGCGTAGAGCTGCAGAGTCCCATTCCAGAACACAGTAACCATCTGCCTCCTCTCTTCCCAAGACCCCAAGCTGGCATGACTCTTGTCTCTGTCCTATCTCCCTGCTGCGATGCTGCTAGCTGGTAGAGTAAGTAAGCCCCTAGATACTGTATATTCCTCTCAACCTTCCATGGTTTGAGAAAAACACAAAGATAGATGTCCATCAAGCACTCACAGGATTACCATTGTGAGGACAGTTGTCAGACAAATAACAAATAAGGCTGTATCTTTTTATTAGACTTTCTCATCTTCCAGTCACCCCTTGTGGTAGAGCAAAAAGAGTGTGTTGTCCCTCATATGCCTCTAGTGGTCACAGGACCACTAGGGAAAGAGACTGGATACTTTTCCATGTAGAACCTATACCCCAATCCCAAGTATTGGGCTGGGAACCCTGTCTATGCCCATTCAAAGCTCACCTTGTGGGAGGATTGCTTGGGCCTGGGAGGTTGAGGCTGCAGTGAGCTGTGAATGCACCACTGCACTCCAGCCTGGGTGACAGAGACCCTGTCTCCAACAAAACAGAATGCTCACCATGGTTCTGAGTGAAGCCAAAAAAAACACAAAAAACCTGTAGGAAAAATTCTAGAAAGAGGCTTGGTACAGAGAAATTATGCCTGTTCCTGCTGTTTGGGCTGGCGGCTGAAAGAGGCTGTGTTACACCCAGAGGTCTGCTTAAAGCCCAATCCTGAGTATCCAGTGAGGCCCATGCTGTGACCAGAAGAATCTGGCAATAGAATGGTCCATACCGCAGTGAAGGGAGGCCCTCTACACTGGTGGACTGATTTCCTCAGGCGAGGGTCTAGGAGCTGGCTTAGGTTTCTCCTACCCTTCCTGTCTGTAAGCCTCAGTCTAGGACAAAGCCCACACAGCTGTATACCCACTCTCACCCATTGCTGCTTCTCAAAAGTTTAAAAGCTAAATAGGAAGGCACCAGATTGCTCCCTGTAGCTCCCTCTACTGGTAATAATAAAAACTGCAGGCTTCTGGGGCCAGCCCCAGTACCTTTGACCCAATCTTTAGCTCAAAGACTGGGTGAAGAAACTCACCAAGACCAAGCAAATACAAATAAATAAATATGAACATGTCGGAACAGTTTTTCTCCTAACTAGGGAAGGGCGAACCAGAATCACTAAACTCACCCAGACAGTTGGACCAGTTGGGGATACCCCAGGTCCAAGGATTCTGGAAGCTAGGATCCTGCTGTGTCATTAAGCAACCTATGATCCATCATAGTTAGACAGGTGCAACCTGAAGAGGGACAAAAGGACTAACTTTATGCTCTCTTGACGGACAAGCCTGCAAGCCATCTTAGAGCTAGAAATAGAGCAAATGGAATTTCTCGAACTAGTCTCAAACAGTTAAATTCTTTTTTGGATTGCCAGCTATAATAAACCATAAAGTGCTATTTTCTGCCTCCATACAACACTATCTAGCACAGCCTGGGCACAAGAGCTCCCTTTTTGCCTCCCTGAAGCACTATGACAAATACCAGTCAAGCTGTCTGCAAGTGTTTTCCTTAGCCACCTTTGTCACCCACCATAAGAACCAGGATTCCTCTGTCCTGCCCTTATTAAAGTGACTTCTCCAAACTCTGCTCCAACAGCAGAGGAAAACTGCAGAATTCCACCTATCAATCCACAGCGCAGATGGGGGCCTCTGGCCTGAGAAGCAACAGGTAAGGGCTACCTGCAGGTCACTTTCTAGGGGTCAGTGACTCCAGTGCTCACTGCACTCTGTGAGCTATGAGTGGCCAACAGGGCTCTGTAGGCCTCGTGGTGAGCAGGGCCTATCTTGGAGGGTAATGTCTACTGGAGGGTACAGGAGGAAGAGTCCCCAAGACAGCACCAGCAGCAGGAGCACGCTGAAGAGGCCATGGGCTTAGGGGGGATGAGGTCCAAGTCCTCGTCATCTGGAATCTCATCCAGGTGATACCCATCCTGAAGCAGCTGCCGGCTCACATCCTGGTTCACCTGCTAAGAGAAGGAGAGGAGGGAACTATAGGCCAAGATGCAAAGCAGAAATAACTGCTACTCAAAAGATAGGCCCACATTCCCTTACCAGGGCTTCCTGTCCATGTCCCATCCCAGGCCAACCCCACACATCCCAGGACTACAGGAGGAAGTGCCACCTTCTCCTACTTACTGCCTCAGCCAGCAGTAAGCCTTAGTACTGTCCAAGCTTCACTGTCACTGACCCCCAGGGGATCTGTTCTCACTAAATCCTGAGGCATTCATAAAAATATCAAGTTCCCAATTATGTTTGAAATCAATGCTCTGATTGTTCCCACTGGGAACCCAGACTAGTCCCTATCAAGGCTGAAAAATATGGGATAATGATAACAGAACAATGGGCTACCGTAGCAGAACATGGGTTACAGCGGAAGGGGGTGGTGAGCAGCTTTTTCTACACACTGCCAGTTAGACTTAGAGTTATCCTTTGATGCCAGCAGAGCTGGGTCCCTACAAAAGTGGAATCTGTTGGTTGGTTTCATCAGTTCACTGAGCATAAGAAAAATAAGGCTGGGTGTACGGTGGCTCATGCCTATAATCCCAGCACTTTGGGAGGCCGAGGAGGGTGGATCGCAAGGTCAGGAGATCGAGACCACCCTAACACGGTGAAACCGCGTCTCTATTAAAAAACAGAAAAAATTAGCTGGGTGTGGTGGCGGGCACCTGTAGTCTCAGCTACTCGGGAGGCTGAGGCAGGAGAATGGCGTGAACCCGGGAGGCGGAGCTTGTGGTGAGCTGAGATCACACCACTGCACTCCAGCCTGGGCAACAGAACGAGACTCCATCTCAAAAAAAAAAAAGAAGGCTGGGCACAGTGGCTCATGCCTGTAATCCCAGCACTTTGGGAGGCCAAGGCGGGTGGACCACTAGGTCAGGAGATCGAGACTATCCTGGCTAACGCGGTGAAACCCCGTCTCTATTAAAAATACAAAAAAAAATTAGCCGGGTGTGGTGGTGGGCGCTTGTAGTCCCAGCTACTCAGGAGGCTAAGGCAAGAGAATGGCGTGAACCCGGGAGGTGGAGCTTGCAGTGAGCTCAGATCGCACCACTGCACTCCAGCTTGGGCAACAGAGCAAGACTCCGTCTCAAAAAAAAAAAGAAAAAGAAAAAGAAAAAGACATGAGGCTGGGGAAAGTGTAAGACTTCCTCTTAGACACAATCTTTGACACTCAGACATTTAAGGACAACACAATTTGCAAACTGCTCTATTCTGTGGCAGAAACTCAGAGATTAGCCAAGACTTCCAGGAGAGTAAGAAAAGCCAGTGGTGTAGAGTCAGGTCCCCAGCACTTCACCTGTCAAAGGGAATGAGCTGCAAATGCCAGGATTTTACATCCCTGTGTTTCTATCTGGGACAGTCACTCTGGAAGAACGTCCACATGGCTATCCCAGGAGTGTTTTAGCCTGAGTTTTCTTTTTTTTTTTTTTTTGAGACAGAGTCTCACTGTATCGCCCAGGCTGGAGTGCAGTGGCTCACTGCAAGCTCCACCTCCTGGGTTCACGCCATTCTCCTGCCTCAGCCTGCCGAGTAGCTGGGAATACAGGCGCCCACCACCACGCCCGGCTAATTTTTTGTATTTTTAGTAGAGACGGGGTTTCACCACAGTCTTGATCTCCTGACCTCGTGATCCGCCCGCCTCGGCTTCCGTGCTGGGATTACAGGCATGAGCCACCGCGCCCAGCCTAGCCTGAGTTTTCATACATGGAACAAATGAAGAAACAGAAGTTGTTTGGTCTGGAAGAAAGCAAGCTTGGTAGAAGATGGGCAAGGGAGAGACAGAAATGCTGATCTCAGAGAGACTAGAGTTGCTGTGTGACATTAGAAAGCAGGTCAAGGACCAGTGGACCCATTCAGATTAAGGAAGATATATCTAAGAGCTACTCAAACAAAAAATTGTGTGTATGTTGAGGGAAGGGTGGGTAGCAAGGCTCCTTGGAGGTGGTGAGTACCCAATTACAAAAAGCATTCAAGTAAGCACAGACTAGTAAACACTTAGCTGGGATCTATCAAAAGGATTCCTTTTCTAAGCTGTGGCCTAGAATACTTTATTTTAGAGTCTTATTTTAGAGACAGGGTCTTGCTATATTGTCCAGGCTGGTCTTGGAACTTCTAGACTCAAGCAATCCTCCTGCCTCAGCCTCCCTGGTAGCTGAGACTACAGGCATGTACCACCATACCCAGCTTACATGACTTCTGAGATCATTTCTAGCCCTGAGTCTATATGGTCTCCTCGATTCTCAACAGCCCTCCTTGGTCACCTATACCTCCACGGGGAGAAGAGGGCAGAGTGGAAGACTGTAGAACAGACCAGAAGTCTGGCACAGTGCTGTGCTGACAGCGGGCACCAAACAAGCATTTGACAGTGGTGGTAATGCTGCCTGCAGCCTGGCCCTGCGCAGAAAGGTGCTCTGGACTTGCCTCTGCAGAGGAATACCCGGAGGAGTATCTGGATTCCAGCTCCCCATCACTAGGAGAAGAGGAAAACAGTCAGTTCAGGGAGGTACCTGTGGCGCATGACTATAAATCATAAGGTGGAGAGCATGCAAGGGCATCTGGAAAACCTGTGAAGCAAAGGCCTTATACAACAGAACTCAAGCCCGAATAGGGTTCCCTCAACGGTTCTGGCAGGAACAGGGTCACTCTCACTAACAACGCAGACGTAACAGGGCAGGATGATCCACTGGACATTGGTGCTCCGAATTCTAGAGCAGCATGATTACCTATGAGTCTTCTAACCAAGCCATCCTGGGAAGGGATATTGTTCAGAAGAGAACAGCCCTGGAATATACATGAAGGGCCTTGGAGGAGACAGGGAACAAGCAAAGGCATCATGCGATCTTCAGTTCCAGCCAAGCTGCTTCCCGAGGGGGTATTTCCAAGGGGAGCACTCACCTGTCAGAGTCGAGGGACACCAGGTTTTCATCTGGACTCTGGCTAAGAGCAGTATAGCCCTTGTTAAACTTCACTGACCTGAGGGGAGATGGGGGAGAAGAGACCAAGCATAGATGAAAGCATAGGCATTTCACAGGGATAGCCAGAGTCCTTGCCCTGAAGGAGAAAGAATTGACTGCACTACTGACTTGCCTTCTCCCTGGTCACAGCCACCACCACCTGCAGCTCCATGTACCTGGCTACAGTGCCTCAGAATGTGTACGTCCTCATTCTTTTTTTTTTTTGGAGACAGAGTCTGGCCCTGTCACCCAGGCTGGAGTGCAATGGCGCCATCTTGGCTCACTGTAATCTCCACCTACTGTGTTCAAATGATTTTCCTGTCTCAGCCTCCCGAGTAGCTGGGACTACAGGCGTGCCCAGCTAATTTTGTATTTTTAATAGAAACAGGGTTTCGCCATGTTGGCCAGGCTGGTCTCGAACTCCTGACCTCAAGTGATCCACTCGCCTCGGCTTCCCAAAGTGCTGGAATTACAGTCGTGAGCCACCACGCCCGGCCTGTATTCTACTCCTCCTATAGGTCTTGGAAAAAAGCACACCTCCCCTTGCCTGAACTAGGAAAAGCACCCTCTCCCCACTTATTTAATCAGAGGACACAAAAACTGCAAGCCTTTGGGTAAAGGGTTAGGGTTAACCTTCACTTCTCCGAGTTTCAACCCTCATCTGTAAAAGGAGGCATTGAATAAGGTTCTATTCAGCTCTGAGTTTACTATTCTGTTGAAAACAAACAAACAAAAACAGGTCTAGCCGTTCCCACACTGCTCTTCGTCCTCATTCCTGGGGACTCCAGCCACCATTCTCCTCCCTAACAGAGGAGGAGAAGGATAGTGAATGAGCCCGTGCACTCACAGAACTCCCTTATTCCGAAGCTCTTTCTCTGATCCTGTCACATCCTTAAAGGAAAAGAGATTGTTCCTCTTCCCATTTTAAAGATAGTGAACCTGACAGGTTGCACCAGGGGAATCGCTAGCTCGGCCTTAAACCAGAGCACCCTGTCTCCCGTCCTGGGGATTAAAGCCTTCTCTAAAACTGCTGGCACAGAGGAGGTGTGGCGCCTGCTGAGACCTTTTCCCTGAAGAGTCTGGGCGGTTCGGCGAGGCCCCCAGCATGCCTTTTCTCCGCAGAACGGCCTTGGCCAGGTCCCGGTGCTTCTCTGGAAGTTAAAGGGCCCGGGTCAGCCGGATCTTCCCCACTCCGCAGCGTCTCCCGAAGGCTGGGAGGCCGCTCTTTCCGAACGGATTTTAAGGGGCGGGAGCAGGCTGCAGCTAACCCCTTCCCTCCGGAGCCGAGGCCCAGCGAAGCTCCGGAGCCCGCCCTGGGGACGCGGCCGCCCGCCCAGGGACAGACCTCCCCCGACCATCGGGCCACACTCACGCAGCTTGGCTTGAATGGAGGGTGCGCGCGTCACCATGTATGGCCCCCGCTTCTCCACGGCCGCGGGGGTGCGCTCCCCCAGACGGAGGGCTCTATTACCAATCTGCCCGGAGGGTGGCCCCGCAGCTCCCGGCGCGCGGTCCCGAGCCCCGCTAGGCCGGGGTCCCGGGGTAGACAACCGCACCGCGCGCCCGCTGAGCTCCGCGGTCGCCATGGCCGGGCTCCGCCCTGCCGGATGATGCAGCCCCGCGCGTGGCAAACAAGCGGACGGCCGAAGGAGAGGCGGGCTGTCTTTTAGCAAGAGCGGTGCGCAGGCGCAGGTCGTCCTCTTCCGGAGCTCTCCGGTTCGGTAGTCTGGGTACTTGGCGCAAATATTCCGCCCTTCTTTCCGGGAGGCCGGGCAGTTCCGTTCTCGCTCTTGGGGTAGGCGGCTGGAGCCTGGTGATGGTTAGGCTCAATTCTGCCTCTAGTGGAAATTAAATACTGATATTGTTGTGGGGCTGCGCGTGTGCGTCGGTCGGGCGCCCACAGTTTGAGTCCTGGCGCGCCACACTCTGTACTTCTCGCAGCGTCTCCTTGGGGGTCTCCCCACATATGGAGCTGCCAGAGAGCAGACTTGAGTTGAAGAGACATGAGGAGAAGCGTTATCAGCGACCTTTTCTAGCAAAAGAAAGAGGCCCCAGAGGTTAAAAAACCTTGTGAAGGTGACACACCTAGAGGCAGTAATTGCGCTGATCCATCTGACGCTAAACCCCACCTTCCTAACACCACCAAGAGGTCCCTGTGACCTTGGACAAGACCTGACCCTCTCTAGGCCTCAGTTTCCACATTTAAAAATAGAGCCGGTGTCACTACTCATTGTACAGTGAGGCAAATAGGCGTTGAAAAGGCGGGTGAAAGTGCACTCTGAGTCTGTGTGTGGTAGGCTATGTGTCAGGGCTCTTGAATTCTCTAGCCCCCAAGGGATGTGCTTGTGACTGGCTGGAAAGAAACTCCAGATCCTTGTGGAACTCCCAAATCTCATGAGGCTGTCCCTTGACTAATTTACTGGTCTCAGTAGGGCAGGTCAACAGTGTGCAACCTCCGAGCTCACAGGGACACGCAGACCGTTGGGTGGCACTATGCCTTCGGCAAGAGAGGTAAAAAGGAAGAATTTAGGGCTGAAGTTTTCAAAAATCAGAAGCACAAAGGAATCCTTACCATTTTGGTAGATTCTCCCCACTCCCCATGATGTTAGACTATTTTTGCCTCCAGAAACAGCAGGTTGGCCGGGCGCGGTGGCTCAAGCCTGTAATCCCAGCACTTTGGGAGGCCGAGGTGGGTGGATCACGAGGTCAGGAGATCGAGACTATCCTGGCTAACATGGTGAAACCCCGTCTCTACTAAAAATACAAAAAACTAGCCGGGCGTGGTGGCGGGCGCCTGTAGTCTCAGCTACTTGGGAGGCTGAGGCGGGAGAATGGCCTGAATCCGGGAGGCGGAGCTTGCAGTGAGCCGAGATCACGCCACTGCACTCCAGCCTGGGAGCACAACGAGACTCCGTCTCAAAAAAAAAAAAAAAAAAAAAACAGAAACAGCAGGTTCATATAGCTCAACTTAGTATTTAATCATTATAACCTCCCAGTGAAGCCAATAGTTATTCTTGTTAAACAAATGAAGCTTAGACTTGGTGAAGTTTACCAGTTAAGTGATAAACCTGGAATTTGTACCCAGCTCCCTGTGGACTCCAAAGAAGTAGTTTTCTGGCGGGGCACAGCGGCTCACATCTGTAATCCCAGCACTTTGGGAGGCTGAGGCAGGCGGATTACCGGAGGTAGGGAGTTCAAGACCAGCTTGGGCAACATGGTGAAAAGTGAGCCAAGATCGGGCCACTGCACTCCAGCCTAAGCAACAGAGAGAGACGCTGTCTCAAAAACAAACAAACAACTCCCCCCCCAAAAAAACCAACAACAAAGAAGTGGTTTTCTTCTGGTTATGCTGATGGAGACTTCACCAAGAGCCAAATATGATTTAAACCAGCAGTCTCCAACCTTTTTGGCACTAGGGGTTGGTTTTGTGGAAGACAGTTTTTCCATGGGGTGGAAATGGGGTAGAAAAAAGCTGGTTTTGGGATGATTCAAGCACATTTATTGTGCACTTTATTATTACATTACAATATATAACGAAATAATTGTACAACTCAACTTAGAATCAGTGGGAGCCCCAAGCGTGTTTTCCTGCAACTAGACGGTCCCATCTGGGGGTGATGGGAAACGACGACAGATCATCAGGCATTAGATTCTCATAAGGAGCCCACAATCTAGATCCCTTGCGTGTGCGGTTCACAATAGGGTTCATGCTGCTATGAGACTCTAATACCACTGCTGATCTGATAGGTGACGGAGCTCAGGTGGTAATGTGAGCAATGGGGAGCCGCTGTAAATACAGATTAAGCTTTGCTCACTCATGGACCAGTATCCATCCATGGCCTGGGGCTTGGGAACCCTGACCTAAACCCACTTAATGTCACAAAATCACTAGGAACTTGTAACAAAACTGTGAGAGCCTTCATGCACGCTCTTCCCAATCTTCCATCAATAATGCTCTTAACTGCTGAGTGACTCAACATAGACCCTGAAGCCAAATTATTTGCTGTCACCTACTGGCAAATTATTAAACCTCTTTATGTCTCAGTTTCTTTAGCTAAGTGGAGATAACAGAACCCATCTAATGGAAGTGGAATTGTGAAGTTCAGTTGTAAAGTGTTTAGAATGACACCTGGCATATAGTAAGTGTTCAAGAAATATATGCTATTATTTACACAACCCTTATACAGCATTACAAGGATTTAGTGTTCATTCTCTCATTTGACTTTACACTCCCCAAGGGCAGACTGCCTTATTCACTTTTTAGCATAAGGTTATAGTAATAAATATTTGTGGAATTAATATCCTATTTCTGCTCTTTTGGTTAACTAGTATCATAGAACTTCGGGGCTGGAAGAGATCTTAGAGATTATATAATTTAAAGTCATTATTAATGAAGAAACTGTGATCTTGTGATAGTTGTGCTCAATGATCCTGGCCTGGATGTGGGCAGTTTCCTTTTCCACTTAAGAAATTATGTCCACTAGGGCTCACGCCTGTCATCCCAGCACTTTGAGAGGCCAAGACAAGTGGATTGCTTGAGGTCAGGAGTTCAAGAGCAGCCTGGGCAACATGGCAAAGCCCCGTCTCCACACACAAAAAAGAAAAATTAGCTGGGCATGGTGGTGTGTGCCTGTGGTCTCAGCTACTTGGGAGTCTGAGGTGGGAGGATCACCTGAGCCCAGGCGGTTGAGGTTGATCTGACAGGAGGTGGAGCTGCAGTGAGCTGTGATGGCACCACTGCACTCCAGCCTAGATGACAGTGAGATCCTGTCTCAAAAAATAAATAACTTACAATTTAACAAAAGAAATTATGTTCACTAGGAATCTAAGAAAAATAAATACCCACCCCACCACCAAAAATGCCCCCAACCAACTCTAGGTTGTAAGGGGATGAGGTTCCAGAGCAAGAATTGCCACAGCAGAAAGGGCACAAAACCCCGCTTCCTTGCCCTGGCTACTCAGACCTTAACCGAGTGCTTGTGCTGGCTGCCCTGCTGGGCCTAGGGCTCCTCAACTCAGCATAGCTTTATTCATCTCCTACTGTGTCACAGGTGCTATGCTGGGTCCTGTAAACCTAATGATGACAAATAAGGTATCTCCCAGTTCCCTTCCTTGCCCCTGCTACTCAGACCTTAACCCAGTGCTTGTGCTGGCTGCCCTGCTGGGCCTAGGGCTCCTCAACTCAGCATAGCTTTATTCATCTCCTACTGTGTCACAGGTGCTATGCTGGGTCCTGTAAACCTAATGATGACAAATAAGGTATCTCCCAGTTCCCTTCCTTGCCCCTGCTACTCAGACCTTAACCCAGTGCTTGTGCTGGCTGCCCTGCTGGGCCTAGGGCTCCTCAACTCAGCATAGCTTTATTCATCTCCTACTGTGTCACAGGTGCTATGCTGGGTCCTGTAAACCTAATGATGACAAATAAGGTATCTCCCAGTTCCCAGTCTTGTTTCTTTGTATTGGGGGATAGTGAATCCTTGGGGAGAGTTTATCGGCTGTTAGGAGCAAGGACTACTACCTTGGCTTTTGGAACCCTCATTGGGCAGTTATTCTTTATCCCTGGCTCTAAATCTAAGTTATTCTCTAAACTTCCTTGGTCCTGGAACAGATGTGGATCCATCATCAGTTGAGAATTCTTGTTCTGCTGTTGACTGGAGCTGATTCCTTCATACAGGCAAGTATCTGAGGTTAAACATTAAAAGAGATGGAGGACAGATTTTTTTTTTTTTTTGAGACGGAGTCTTGCTCTGTTGCCCAGGCTGTAGTGCAGTGGTGCCATCTCAGCTCACTGCAAGCTCTGCCTCCCGTGTTCATGCTATTCTCCTGCCTCAGCCTCCCAAGCAGCTGGGACTACAGGTGACCACCACCACGCCTGGCTAAGTTTTTGTATTTTTAGTAGAGATGGGGTTTCACCGTGTTAGCCAGGCTGGTCTCGATCTCCTGACCTCGTGATCCGCCTGCCTCAGCCTCCCAAAGTGCTGGGATTACAGGCTTGAGCCACCGCGCCCAGCCAGAGATTTTCTTTTTATCCTGCCACTTCCCTTTCAAGCTCTCTTTTTTTTTTTGAGATGGAGTCTTGCTGTGCTGCCCAGGCTGGAGGGCATGGTGTGATCTCGGCTCACTGAAACCTCCACCTCCTGGGTTCAAGCAGTTCTCTGCCTCAGCCTCCCAAGTAGCTGGGATTACAGGCACCCGCCACCATCTCCAGGTAATTTTTGTATTTTTTTTGTTAGTACAGAAGGGGTTTCACCATGTTGGCCAGGCTGGTCTTGAACTCCTAACCTCACAATCCACCCGCCTTGGCCTCCCAAAGTGTTGGGGTTACAGGCGTGAGCCACCGCGTCCGGCTTCCCTTTCAAGCTCTCTTCCCATCTCAGAAGCCACTGTCTCACCAGGTTGTGGCCTCTAGCCCAAGGAACTTCTCTCATTATTGGTAGAGTACAGATAACTAGATAGGACCGATGAATCTGCAGGTCTTTAGGGAACCAGCCCCACCATTGTCCTCACAGTTATATGCAAAGGTATGGCCACAGCTGTGGAGGGCTGCTGTGGTTTGTCTCTACCAAACCTGATGTTTACATTTGATCCCCGGTGTTGGAGGGGGGGCCTAATAGGAGGTATCTGGGTCATGGGGGTGGATCCCTCACAAATACATTAATTTCCTCTCTGAAGGTAGTAAGTTCTTATAGTTCTATAAGTTCCTGAGAGAGCTGGAGTTTTTAAAAGAATATCGATTATATATGTATAGTGGGCCATAAAAACTATCTCTGTGGCCGGACTCAGTGGCTCACGCCTGTAATCCCAGCACTTTGGGAGGCCGAGGCAGGCAGATCACGAGGTCAGGAGTTCGAGACTAGCCTGACCAACATGGTGAAACCTCGTCTCTACTAAAAATACAAAATTAGCTGGGCATGGTGGCGTGCGCCTGTAATTCTAGCTACTCAGGAGGCTGAGGCAGGAGAATTGCTTGAACCTGGGAGGCAGAGGTTGCAGGGAGCCGAGATTGTGCCACTGCACTCCAGCCTGGGCAACAGAGCGAGACTGTCTCAAAACAAACAAACAAACAAACAAAAACTATCTCTCCTTTCTT